AGGAAATAGCCTCTTTGAGACACTTTTTGCTGAGGAGCTTGGTCTTATTGTTGAGGTTAGCAAGAAGGACCTGGATACTGTAATGGGAAAGCTTAACAGTGCCGGTATCTCTGTTGACATCATTGGGCAAGTGACCACCTCACCTTTTGTAGAATTGAAAGTTGATGGGGTGACTCATTTAAAAGAGAAGACTTCTTTTCTGAGAGATATGTGGGAGGATACTAGTTTTCAGCTGGAAAAATTCCAAAGATTGCTGTCTTGCGTGGAGCAAGAGAAAGAAGGATTGAAGTTCAGGAGGGAACCTTCATGGAAGCTGTCTTTCACTCCTTCTTTTACAGATAAGAAATATATAACTGCAACTTCAAAACCAAAAGTGGCTGTAATTCGAGAGGAAGGCAGCAATGGTGATAGAGAAATGTCTGCAGCATTCTTTGCTGCCGGTTTTGAACCCTGGGATGTTACCATGTCAGATCTTCTTAATGGAGCTACCTCTCTGAATGAGTTTCGTGGAATTGTCTTTGTTGGTGGTTTTAGCTATGCTGATGTTCTAGATTCAGCAAAAGGTTGGTCTGCTTCCATCCGGTTCAATCAGCCTCTTCTAAATCAATTTCAGGAGTTCTACAGAAGGCCCAGACACTTTTAGTCTTGGTGTTTGTAATGGGTGTCAACTAATGGCTCTGTTAGGGTGGATTCCAGGCCCCCAAGTCGGAGGTGCACTTGGTGCTGGTGGGGATCCATCACAGCCAAGGTTTGTTCACAATGAGTCTGGACGGTTTGAATGTCGTTTCACAAGTGTGAAAATAAAGGATTCACCTGCTATGATGTTTAAAGGAATGGAAGGCAGCACATTGGGGGTCTGGGCTGCCCATGGTGAGGGTAGAGCATACTTTCCTGACGATGGTGTTCTAGATCGCATACTCCACTCAAACTTGGCACCTCTAAGATATTGTGATGATGATGGGAATGCAACAGAAGTGTATCCTTTCAATGTGAACGGTTCTCCCTTAGGTGTAGCAGCAATTTGTTCCCCTGATGGGAGGCATCTAGCCATGATGCCTCATCCAGAGCGTTGCTTCTTGATGTGGCAATTCCCATGGTATCCAAAGCATTGGAATGTAGACAAGCAAGGGCCAAGCCCATGGTTAAAGATGTTCCAAAATGCTAGAGAATGGTGTTCTTAAGATGGTAATCTTTCGTTCTATTGTTCCTCTCAATTTCTTTTTCTTGCTTTAAAATCTTTCTTAGGTTTACTTTACTCTCTTGAACAGCTGCTTTTTCAGTATCTTGAACCCACAATTCGCCTGCCGAGCACAAGCTTCATAAAGCTTTCAAGTCAGGAGGACTGCTTGTCTGTTTTAGTCATTTTCTCAATATGTCCAAGGTGTTAAAGTTCTTTTCTTGTTTTCATTTGATGAAAATACAGATGATGATTTTGACAAATGGAGCAGTGAAACTTTTGACATTTTCTTGACATCCTTTCAATTATCTTGTGGTTTCTTCTCCTTTTGTGACTTAATGCATAATGTATGAAGGGCTTTGGCCTTTATGAAATGAAAATTATACTTATTACAGTTGTATTTTGCGCTTCATTAGGGCAATTAAGATACAGGCAGCAGGCTGGTTCACATTGGATGTTGTTCTTTGATTTTCATTCTGTTTATGAATGTCCTGTTAAAATCCAAGTGATTAACAAATGTAATTGGTAAGTATATTGGATAGGGATGTGTTGATCGGTGGACTGATTATTGTCTGAATATCTGTGTTCAGTAAATGGGATTATCTTGCAATCATGCTGCTACTTTTTTTAAAAGCCACAATGATGCTACTTTCATAGAGGCGTTATATGGTTTTCGGTGATATTGCTTGCATTTACCTTCTTTGCAGTTTATCACTGTCTAGTGATGGGACACATTATTAACTTCATAAGAAAAAGTTTTGTGCCAATAGGTACCAATTTTAAGATGTCTGTCTATCTCAGGAAAAGCAAGAGAAAGATTTAAGATGCCTATATTTCTATGGGCCAATTTCAAGGGTGTAAACTTGCTAGGTGCTAGTTTCCATGTCCTTTTAGTATTATATATGCAATATTATCATAAATTTTTATATATTGCACTTTAGAAGACCTTTGCATCAATGCATCTAAACTTTGGCCTTTTTCCCTCCCTGAAATTTATGAGATTCTTTAATTTGCAAGTAGGGAAGTGCTTCATTTGATTTTAGTCCTTTGGATGAGTATATCCATGTACTAGGAATGGATGATTTTCACTCTTCAAGATGATTCTTAAGGTTCTTTTTGCTTTAACTGTTTTGTAGTCCCTTATAATTGGGA